TGTGCCACTGGGGGGGCCCCTGGTTTAAATGTGAGACTTGTGTCTTAAAAATGAAACGTAAGAAAAAATTGACTAACTGGCCAATAAATATTATTTATAAAAGCCAATCGTTAACTAATAGTTTTAAATCTGTTTTGATAACAGTGCAAGAGGCCTTCTTTTAAAATAGGCTTCAAGTGGCTTATCGGAAAATTTCAATACTCGTGATAAGCACAGAAAAAAAAAACCCTTTGTGTAGCTTTGTGCTTAATTACAAACAAACAAACATTTATACCTGAGAACTTTTTTCATGGAAAACTAGAAAAATATCCTCTAAGTTGCCTTAGTTACTCTCATTCTGTGCCGTATCTTAAATCTGAAAATTAGAAAATGGGAACTAATGATGATTAGATATGTAGTATGGGTGGATTTTTGCCACTCACCGCAGAGAATCGAACCTGGATTTTAGTATTGTATGTCCATAGCCTTGCTATTGACCTACCTGGGAAAGTGAGAACGTTATGGGCAAGCTGAGGCAGCCCTTTATTCGACTAGGTGACTGATACAAGATCGTTGTGATCTAGAAGTGGGGGATCTTCTGGCCAGTGACAGACAGCTACTGTCTAAGAATGTTGTCACAGCGTGAAGGGATTACCTAAGTCTTATCAAATGTTTTATTTCTCTGATTCTACTGACCTTCCAGACATGATAAAAATCAAAGTAAAATAAGGTCATTCATCAAAACAAGCAACCAGAGCATTAAATCCAAATTTAAGTTTAGCTCGTCACATCCAACAAGTACGCCATGTCTTTAGTTTTATACGATTTTGCTGAAAGACGAGTCTGTATTTATGCTTTCAAAACGTACACTTGATCGCTGCTTCTCACGATCCGAAGAGTTTATAAAATATGTAATTTTATTTAGTGAATTATTTTATATACAGGAAAGAACACGAAAATGTATTCGAAAAAGAATACATAAGAAAGTTCTCTAACTGTCTTACCCTACAAGTGCCACTGATTAATTCACCAAATATATATATATATATATGTAAATACATAGGTAGTGTTAAACTACGAACACAGATCCTGAAGTTTACATTTATTGTTAAGACAGCGTGACGCTAGTAACACGTCATATTCTCGAAGGTTCGTGAATGCTCGAGTGTTTACTAGATGTACGGTATTATTGTATATAGGACCGCCAAGAAGTAACGGCAACAATGTAACTGAACTACAGACTGAGATAGAGACTGACAATTGAGTCGAGCACGTGAGTCGTTCTTTGTGAATTATAGCGTTTGTTTACGTTATAGCGTGACTGTGGAAATTAAGTGTATTGCAAAGTTGTATTGAGAAAGAATAAACTAGTTTTATTTATGAAAGGACTTGTATCGCTAAAGTTTCTTCAGAAAGAATTTTTACGGAAAATTAACAAACGACCAGAGACGTAACATTATTAAAAACAAATTTTGCATGCTTAGTTTCTCTACATACTATGTAAAAAGACTACTTTATGCCACCATTATCACTTTTGTAGAATAAGACACATGGTGAGGACATTATTCTCTCTACTATCTAACAAGACACATGGTGAGATCATTCTCTCTGCTATCTTACAAAAGACATGGTGAGATCATTATTCTCTCTGCTATCTTACAAGACACATGGTGAGGCCATTATTCTCTCTACTATCTTATCACCATGTGTCTTGGGTCATTATTCTCTCTACTATCTAACAAACGACATGGTGAGGCCATTATTCTCTCTGCTATCTTACAAGACACATGGTGAGGCCATTATTCTCTCTGCTATCTAACAAGACACATGGTGAGGCCATTATTCTCTCTGCTATCTTACAAGACATATGGTGAGGCCATTATTCTCTCTACTATCTAACAAGACACATGGTGAGGCCATTATTCTCTTAAATAGAAAGGGACTTGGTGAAGTAATTATTATCTCTAGTAAAGAGAAAGGGACTTGGTGAAGTAATTATTATCTCTAATAAAGTGAAAAGGACTTGGTGAAGTAATTATTATCTCTGGTAAAGAGAAAGGGACTTGGTGAAGTAATTATTATCTCTAATAAAGAGAAAGAGACATGGTGAAGTAATTATTATCTCTAGTAAAGAGAAAGAGACTTGGTGAAGTAATTATTATCTCTAATAAAGAGAAAGAGACATGGTGAAGTAATTATTATCTCTAGTAAAGAGAAAGGAACATGGTGAAGTAATTATTATCCCTAGTAAAAAGAAAGGGACTTAGTGAAGTAAGTATTATCCCTAGTAAAGAGAAAGGGACACGGTGAAGTAATTATCATCCCTAGTAAAGAAAAAGGGAATTATCTCTAGTAAAGAGAAAGGGATATGGCGAAGTAATTATCATCTCTAGTAAAGAGAAAGGGACATGGTGAAGGCATTATTATTCCTAGTAAAGAAAAAGGGACATGGTGAAGTAATTATTATTCCTAGTAAAGAAAAAGGGACATGGTGAAGTAATTATTATTCCTAGTAAAGAGAAAGGGACATGGTGAAGTAATTATTATCTCTAGTAAAGAGAAAGGGACATGGTGAAGTAATTATTATCTTTAGTAAAGAGAAAGGGACTTAGTGAAGCAATTATCATCCCTAGTAAAGAGAAAGGGACATGGTGAAGTAATTATTATCCCTAGTAAAGAGAAAGGGACTTGGTGAAGTAATTATTATCTCTAGTAAAGAGAAAGGGACATGGTGAAGTCATTATTATCCCTAGTAAAGAGAAAGGGACATGGTGAAGGCATTATTATCCCTAGTAAA